TCCTCCACTCACCTCAGAGCTCTACCTTAACCTCCACCTTCTTCCTCCACTCACCTCAAAGCTCCACCTTAACCTCCACTTTCTTCGTTCACTCACCTCAAAGCTCACCTTAACCTCCACTTCTTCCTCCATCACCTCAAAGCTTCACCTTAACCTCCACTTTCTTCCTCCACTCACCTCAAAGCTCCACCTTAACCTCACTTTCTCTACTCACCTTCTTCTCGCCCTACTCCACCTCTTCATCCCTCAAAGCTCCACCTTAACCTCCACCTTCTTCCTCCATTCACCTCAAAGCTTCACCTTAACCTCCACTTTCTTCCTCCACTCACCTCAAAGCTCCACATTAACCTCCACTTTCTTCGTCCACTCACCTCAAAGCTCCACCTTAACCTCCACCTTCTTCCTCCACTCACCTCAAAGCTTCACCTTAACCTCCACTTTCTTCCTCCACTCACCTCAAAGCTTCACCTTAACCTCCACTTTCTTCCTCCACTCACCTCAAAGCTCCACATTAACCTCCACTTCTTCTCCACTCACCTCAAAGCTCCACCTTAACCTCCACCTTCTTCCTCCACTCACCTCAAAGCTTCACCTTAACCTCCACTTCTTCCTCCACTCACCTCAAAGCTTCACCTTAACCTCCACTTTCTTCCTCCACTCACCTCAAAGCTCTACCTTAACCTCCACCTTCTTCCTCCACTCACCTCAAAGCTCCACATTAACCTCCACCTTCTTCCTCCACTCACCTCAAAGCTCCACCTTAACCTCCATCTTCTTCCTCCACTCACATCGAAGCTCCACATTAACCTCCACTTTCTTCGTTCACTCACCTCAAAGCTCCACCTTAACCTCCACTTCTTCCTCCACTCACCTCAAAGCTTCACCTTAACCTCCACTTCTTCCTCCACTCACCTCAAAGCTCCCATTAACCTCCACTTTCTTCGTCCACTCACCTCAAAGCTCCACCTTAACCTCCACCTTCTTCCTCCACTCACCTCAAAGCTTCACCTTAACCTCCACTTTCTTCCTCCACTCACCTCAAAGCTCCACATTAACCTCCACCTTCTTCCTCCACTCACCTCAAAGCTCCACCTTAACCTCCATCTTCTTCCTCCACTCACATCGAAGCTCCACATTAACCTCCACCTTCTTCCTCCACTCACCTCAAAGCTCCACCTTAACCTCCACCTTCTTCCTCCACTCACCTCAAAGCTCCACATTAACTTCATTTTCTTCCTCCACTCACCTCAAAGCTCCACTTAAACCTCCATCTTTCTCACTCACATCTACAAAGCTCACCTTAACTTCCATCAATTCTTCTCCACTCACTAAAGCTCCACCTTAACCTCCACCTTCTTCCTCCACTCACTTCAAAGCCCACCTTAACTTCCATCTTCTTCCTCACTCACCTCCTAACACACAACATTATCCTCAACGCCATTATTCATTAACTTCGACAGTGCTAAAAATGCATCTTAATCCATACAAATTCCAGATTTATGTATAATGTAGATACTTTTTGAAACATTATTAATCTAATGCCTCTAAGTTAATGATCAAAACAAATGTAAATATATGTACAGTCTATGATAGAAAAAATATGTTTAAGTTATATTTCATATTTTTTTCCGAACAAATATTTTACACATTTCAAATATTCAGACTCTTCAAACTATTCCATAAACAACTTTTACAAATGACTGAAAAAAAAAATTATTCCATAAAAGAGATTCAAAGTTAACTTTCTGAAATGATTCGATGCAATATAATACATTTTATCAATTATCTCAATGGTTTTACTGCCATGTAAAATATCGGAAGAAATGTTGATTGTTGGTCAAATGTGAAAGACGTTTCAGCAGGAAACAGATAATTATAATATGTGCAGGAATGTGGTCAATAGGTGAGGTTTGGGACACTAACCCGAGGCCAGTGTTGAATGTTATGGTCAGGGCGGGAGGGAAGGGGGTGAGGTAAGAGGCTGTTTGTAAACAAAAGGCAAGATTTAGATGACTGTAGGGTAATTAAAATGAACGCAAATTGTTGATAATAAGTAAATGTCGAAAAAGAAGTGCTGTAGCTGTGTGAACGTAGACTGAGTGCACAAGAGGTCTGTGGTTAAAAGAAGGAGAGTTCAGTAGAGAAGAGGAATGGACTGTGGAATGAGGAAGTGAAACTGGTGGCAAGAAAGAAAAACAGTTATAATATTGAAAGGATGTAAAGAAAACTAAACTTATCGAGAAGTTAAATTTAAGGGGAAATGCAAAAAAATAATAAGTTTAAGAACTGGAGAAAGATTATTAAACAAAATCTGCTTTAGAATAAAAGTTTGGAGAGAAAAAATTGGTGAAAACAAATCTATGGAATAAATTGGTATGTAAGTTAAGAGTAAATATTGAGATTATCGATGCACTAGAGGTGGAGAAACGTCATACCTGGTTACCTGGAGGTTATTCCGGGGATAAACGCCCCCGCGGCCCGGTCCATGACCAGGCCTCCCGATGGATCAGGGCCTGATCAACTAGGCTGTTACTGCTGGCCGCACGCAGTCCAACGTACGAGCCACAGCCCGGCTGATCCGATGCTGACTTAATTAAGGTATCTGTCCAGCTCTCTCTTGAAGGCAGCCAGGGGTTTATTGGCAATTCCCCTAATGCTTGATGGGAGACTGTTGAACAGTCTTGGGCCCCGGACACTTATGGTGTTTTCCCTTAGTGTACCAATGGCGCCCCTACTTTTTATTGGGGGCATTTTGCATCGCCTGCCCAGTCTTTTACTTTCGTAGGGAGTGATTTCTGTGTGCAGATTTGGGACCATTCCTTCCAAGATTTTCCAAATGTAGATTATGATATATCTCTCCCTCCTGCGTTCCAACGAGTACAAGTCAAGTGCTTCCAAGCGTTCCCAGTAGTTAAGGTGCTTGACAGAACTTATATGTGCAGTAAAGGATCTCTGTACACTCTCTAGATCTGCGATTTCACCTGCTTTGAATGGAGATGTTAATGTACAGCAGTATTCCAGCCTAGAGAGAACAAGTGATTTGAAAAGGATCATCATTGGCTTGGCATCTCTCGTTTTGAACGTTCTCATTATCCATCCTATCATTTTCTTTGCACGTGCGATCGTGGCACTGTTGTGATCCTTGAAAGTGAGATCCTCAGACATTACTACTCCCAGGTCCCTTACATTATTTTTCCGCTCTATTGTATGGCCAGAGTCTGTAGTATACTCTGTTCTAGTTATTATCTCCTCCAGTTTTCCAAAAGGGAGTAGTTGGAATTTGTCCTCATTGAACATCATATTGTTTACCGTTGCCCACTGGAAAACTTTGTTTATATCTTCTTGGAGGTTAACCGCGTCCTCAGCAGATGACAGCCTCATGCAGATCCTAGTATCATCCGCAAAGGATGATACGGTGCTGTGATGTATATCTCTGTCTGTCTGATATGTGGATAAGGAATAAGATGGGGCGAGTACTGTGCCTTGTGGAACAGAGCTTTTCACTATGGCAGCCTCCGATTTAACTCTGTTGACCACTACTCTGTGTTCGATTTGTTAGGAAGTTGAAGATCCATCTCCCCACTTTCCCAGTTATTCCTTTAGCACGTATTTTATGGGCTATTACACCATGGTCGCATTTGTCAAATGCTTTTGCAAAGTCTGTGTATATTACATCTGCATTCTGATTTTCTTTCAGTGCATCCAAGGCCATATCATAGTGATCCAGTAGTTGTGAGAGGCAGGAGCGACCTGCCCTGAACCCATGTTGCCCTGGATTGTGCAGATTTTGGGAATCCAGGTGATTTGCAATCCTGCTTCTTAGCACTCTTTCAAAGATTTTTATGATATGGGACGTCAGAGCTATTGGTCTACAGTTCTTAGCTAATGCTTTGCTGCCACCTATATGGAGTGGGGCTATATCCGTTGTTTTAAGTGACTGTGGAATTTCACCCATGTCCAAGCTCCTCTTCCATAGTGTACTTAGGGCACGCGAGAGGGGTTTCTTGCAGTTCTTAATGAAAACAGAGTTCCACGAGTCTGGGCCCGGGGCTGAGTGCATGGGCATGTTGTCAATGGCTTTTTCGAAATCTATCGGAGTTAGGGTAATGTCGGAAATCTGGCATACATTTATGGAGTTTTGAGGCTCATTCATGAAAAAAATCATTTGGGTCGTCGATCCTCAGACCGATTAGTGGTTCACTAAACACAGAGTCGTACTGGGATTTCAATATTTCACTCATTTCCTTGTTGTCATCTGTGTAAGTCCCATCCTGTCTGAGTAAGGGCCCAATACTAGATGTGGTATTTGCCTTGTTTTTGGCATATGAAAAGAAATATTTTGAATTTCTTTCAATTTCACTAATAGCTTTAAGCTCCTCCTGTCTCTCCTGGTTCCTGTAAGAGTCTTTTAACTTAAGTTCGATAGTTTCCACTTCCCTGGTCAGCGCCTCCTTTCGTGTATCAGATATTCTGAGGAGCTCAGTGACTCTTCGTCGTCTTCTGTAGAGGGAGCGTCTTTCTCTCTCCAGTTTACTCCTGCTCTTCTTCTTCAACTAATCCATTATTCTGAGAGGAAACTTCAGCTTGATAATAGTCTAGGACTGATCGAAACGTAGGCTAATTTTTTTTTGAGAAGTGTATGTGTGTGTGTGTGCGTGAAATGGATTAAATATAGCGAAACTTTCATTTGTTTCAATAAAAGAAAACAACTCTTTTAGCAACAGGAAATTTGTATAACAATACAAATACAATCCAGAAGTGACGTTAATGAAACAAATCCAATAAGAAGAAATAATCTAGGCATCCGGATTAATTAGATAAATCCTCGCGCAACCACATTAAAAGAAACGGTGTTGGCAGAATAAACACAGCCTGGATTAGCATCAACAAACCATAAATAACGTTTGGCGATCCTAGCTCTTCCCTCCCCCGGTCCCCTCTGGCTGACCTGCTCCGTATATAATGGCAGGACACCCATTCACTGAGAGTCAAACACTTCCCGGCTTCCCTGTCAGACGGGACGTTCGTGGCGTCCGTGTGTCGTGTACGGAGGTCGCCTCGGTTGCTCTGTATGTGTGATGTGATGCTACGGTGGTGGCAGTGATGTTAATTTTGGTGATAGTGGTGGTGATGATAACAGTGACGTTGTTGATGGTGGTGACAGTGCGCCAGTGGTTGTAACTGATAGTGTGGTGCTTCCTACCGACATTTAGTATAAGATAGTGATGCGGCTAATGATAAAAGAAAATGGAAAATGTATAATGAAGGATAAAATTTTGCCGCATATGTTTTGTATGTCAACTCAGAGCCAAAATAAAAAAAATGTTTCGTACAAACCGATAAATAAGTGAAAAATCACTGTCAGATTCAACATTTTTAAGATATCATTTACATGACAGTGTATTTTGGTGCAAGATCTGTTGATTCTTGCGTGACTATGGTGTCATAATGAAGCCATTCCTTTTCATACCATGGTAACCTGTAGTATCTTCCTGCCTAATTTCACTGTCATTCGGTAATATCTTTCCATGGCATCCCGAGGTGGCTCACCTCGGGATACAATAGAAAGATACTACCATCGAAATCCATGGTAGCTCATAGTATTTTTCCCCTAATCTTTATCCTCATTCCTTGGACACTATGAGGTATTATTTTTCAATTCGTCTCTTGGTAATTCCTAGTATCTTCACTTCTCATTCCATGGTAACTCATAAACTTTCCTCTTCATTCCTTAGTAATAGTCTATTTCCCTCTCATACCTTGGTAACTCATTGTATCTTTTCCCTGCGGTAGATCTGCATATATCTATACCTACACACACACACACAATATATATTTATATATATATATATATATATATATATATATATATATATATATATATATATATATATATATATATATATATATATATATATATATAAGCTAAACTAGCGTAATTTCTGTTAGCTAAATTGTGCTAGAAATAATATGTGTGTTTATGTTAATAAACTAGTTACATAATATATTCTGTGATATTTTGATGTTTGGTTCTGAGTCATTATAAGCTGGCGTGGAATTTAGAACAAATTAAAAGGCCTGAGCTTGCTACCACCTGCAGCTCATAAGACTGCCATCCCCACGAGCCCCTTTGGGGCGGGGCAGATGGCAGACCAGAGGCCTAGCTTCTCCCTACGAGCCCCGTGAGGGCGGGGAATGTGGCTAGGCCTGGGGACAGTTGGTCCCAAAGATGAGGGGGTACTTATACCTCCTCCCATGGGAGACTTAAGTCTCGAGACACTCCCCAGATAGGGAGCCAAGGCCGGGTCACCACTACTTGGAAAAGACCCGGGCCGGGAGAATACCGGCGAATAAAAAAAAAAAAAAAAGAACAAATTATTATATACAATCCAAGCGACTATCTACAAAAAAATCTAACATGACACATGTGTGTCTTCATTTTTTTTTTCTGCTAAACGTCAAACTCATTCCTCTCCATTATACTACTAAATATTTATTTTAATGTTACATTTAGTTATAAATATATTTTTGTGCTGGTTTATTATTTTTATGTTAAAATCCTGCAGAGTCTAATTATTTTTATACGTACAATATTTATACTCTCGTTTACATAGAAGTAAATAGCATTAGCAATCTATAATTGAAATAATTTTCACCTGAGAATCATATTATCTTAATGAGCAACGTTACATACCTGGTAAACCATCAGTGCAGAAATTATATAGAAGTTTGCAGTCGGAACTCATTACTATTATAACAATTAATTATGAGTAAAAATAGGCAAGAACGGCAAACTTTATATCAGAAACTTCTCTTGCTGGGCACCGATAAGCACGGGTCAGGTGAGTTATTGTTTACCTACGTGCCTTTGTTTGCCCGTCTTTGTCGCGCTGTGTCTGTGTCTCTCATTGTTTGTCAGGCTCGCTGGCTCTCTCGACGTACCTCTCTTTGACTTACTCTTCTTTGCTTACTTGTCTGTGTCTATGTGTTTACTTTCTTATCCCTCTCTCTGTGTTTTTTTTTAATCTCTCTCTCAGTTTCCGTCTCTGTGTTTATATTTGTTTAACTTAACTTCTGAGATTTTCCTCCCATATTCCTCAGCTGTTGAAATTTGTATAGAGCCTAACTTTATAGTCACAATTCAATAAAGAACGAAAGGAGCTTTCTGCGATTATCCTCGACCTCCTCTTCGGAAATTCTCTCTCTCTCTCTCTCTCTCTCTCTCTCTCTCTCTCTCTCTCTCTCTCTCTCTCTCTCTCTCTCTCTCTCTCTCTCTCTCTTTCTCTCTGACGATTAATCCACATTGCGTCATTATAATAACTTCCTGTTTTCATATGTAATCGTTATCCTTACAAGAACTAATCGTTTTGCTCACATGCTTCCTAATCCCCATGGCTAATCCTTTACTGCTCCTCAACAATAAATGCGTCCTAACTCCCTCCCCAACTGTGTTAGTAATGTTTACACTCTGTGTTAGGAAGGGGAAGGGGAAGGGGAAGGGGAAGGGGAGGGAGGGGTGATGGAAGAACAAATTTGTGGACCAACCCATCACTTCTTGAGTGAAATTAATAAGAAAAGAACATATTGGGTTTATTAATCAAGTAAGCTTCTCTCTCTCTCTCTCTCTCTTTCTTTCTTTCTCTGTTTTATTTCGCGCTTTTTAACTGTAGGTCATGTGTACACAATCATTCAAGAATGAGTTAGTTCCTTGAACAGAGCTTGTAGTAAATCACTGAGCGATACACATCTCTCAGTGTGCACTTCCAGAGATACACCTCTCGATGGATATACTCAAATATACACACATCCCGTTATATATACACTTAGATACTTGTACCTGAACCTGGGGTATAACCCCTCTCTCTCCCGATATATAGTGTGTGCCTCTCCTGCTTGCAGTATACGTAGTTAACTCAGCACGAGCAGTTTACTGTTATGTTTATGCTTGCTGACCACTAGTCATTAATGCTGATCAGCTATTTAGCGAATATTTGTAATAAGCTTTGGTGATTATCTGCCAAACGGTTATTACATAAAATATTCGCAATTTGTTCCTACGTCGCTTTGCTTCAACATATTTAAAACGCTGCTTAAGCATGCATTTAAGAATTAATAACAATTATCATTAATAATTATAATTATACACAGAATCTGTTTTTTATTCCTTTTAGAATGGTTATCAACATTACCAAAAATTCATTAAAATAAATGTGTGTTTACCTTAAATACACAAATAACCCGCACATAGTAGATTAAAACTTATGAATCGTTTCCGTCCAACTTGGACAATTAACTTTATGCGGGTTATTTGTGTATTGTTCCAGTCACCGGTATTGTACCTTTTTTTCATTCCCTATCCTTTAGAAAAATTTAATCTAGATGTTGTATTTATTATAATGATGATAAAGCCCTAAACGCTTAAATTGGTCGTACAAGGTGCGTTGAATGGGAGGTAATCATATCTGATCAGAGGCAGGGGAGAGTGGCTCCAGTTCCTTAGATTAACAACCTTTCTTCAGCGTCGTCTTGTCTCCTTCTTCAGTGAAGGGACTTGGAAAGTTAAAGCAGTGTGTATTCTTTTTACCTCATACAAAGTCAACAGTGTAATAAAGGTTGATTGTTTTTACTGCCATGACGAGACAGCAATGAAACGCTAATTTACAGACGAATGCAAACTCAGGGGCACGAGAAATATCCAGGCAGCGTCTGAGACATGTAATTAAACAACAGTGAAACTCTCATTTCATCTGGCATTGAGACAGACAGCTAACACTCTGACAGATACACAACCCAGCCAATGTCAACGACAGAGGCCGAGTAACTGTGATAACTCATCATTTGCAGTGATGTACTCTTAACAGTTATATTCTAACAGTATACTAAACATTATATATCAAATGATCTTTATATAATGATAAAGATCTAAGACTAGAATTGTGCAACTGTGAGGAAATGAATTCAAATCAATTGGAATTAGGCTGATACAATATATACATAACTAAGTCTGACTCTTTATGTGAAACTTCGACTGACTTATACACTTGATCAGGATTTTTCCCTCAGCGTAATCCACTTCTTTTGACTATTCGTATTTATTAAATGACTTAATTTTCTAGTGATATAAAATGACTATAAAACGTATACAGAGTGTCATTAACCTTTACTATACATGACCTTTCATTTTCGGTTCATAAGGTACTCGTTCATGTAGTGTGTATAAGACGTGGTATGACCTCGTGTTTATGAACGGGCCTCTGCTGGATTCGTGCTTATGAACTGGCCTGTTCTGGATTCGCATATAAATAACCTGGCTTCATTGCCACATCTGTCACCTGGTCTGATGCATCTTCTTTCCGCAGAGAGAGTGCTGTACCCAACTAAACCCAAAGGTTCGGTGCAGAAAGTACCAATACTTGGAGGGACACCCATCTCTGCTGACACTGCCGAGGTGAGTGCTACTTCCTCTATTGACAGTACGCTGTTGTAACTCTTGTTACTATTCTGCACGTTTGATTTTTTTGAGTTTGGATTCACCTATTTGTACTCAGTTGTAATTGCATGGGTCGGGTCTCAGCTACTGGCCCTGCCTCGTAACTTGCCGCTTGCCGGGTTTTGTACCACTAGCTCATGGGCGTCAGCGCCGCCATACCTATTAGACTATGTATGGAGCCACTATCTACCATTACTACGCCTAGCTTCACATGGTGTGTGTAAGTGTGTGTGTGAGTGAGTGAATAAATGTCACGGCACGCCGAAGAGCATGAATTAGCTTTTTACCAGCATGGGTAAATTCCCAGGCGACAGGTTCAAGACTCACGAAATCGTAATGACACGATTGCAGACAAACCACTCCACAGGCGGGGATAGAACCTGCGATCAGAGAGTCATGAAACTCCAGACCACCAGCTGGCCCAGTGGCTAACACGTCGGTCTGGAGTTTTATGACTGATCGCGGGTTCTATCCCCGCTCGTGGTATGGTTTGACAGGTTCAAGCCTAGAATATAACATTTTATATTTGATCCTTAAAAGGAGGAACAAGCTGAAGTTTGAAACATGAAAAAAACTCCCCGTCAGCGTGTGATAATTATATTTTTTTTATGATCGAGTATAATCCTCGTAACTTTAAAGCAAGTACGTGAAGAGAAATACCGCGATTACATCCTTGCTAACAATAGCATAGAGAAAGTATTACATCCCATATAACTACTAACGCATGCAGGGGGAAATAATTGTATCCAAAGTAACCTTTAACGCACGGAGAAAAAGTATTACATTACATCCATTGTAATTACCGACGCATGAAGAGGAAATACCTTAAATTTCTGTAACTTCTGAAACGTGGAAGGAGAGTTACATCTTCTGTAGCTACAAACACATGGAGGGAATATTACAGAATATTACTCGAGGGTAAATATTTCCAGACAATAATAATACTTAAGTATCATGGAAAAACTTCAAAGGAGCTCTTGTTTGGACGAGTGTAGAAATATGCGCCTCAGACGGCAAAGGAAGGAAAGAAGATGAGAAAGAGAGCGAAAGAGAACAGGGAGATGAAAGAAAAATAATGACTGACAGTTTTAAACGAGGAGACAGAGGAGAGAGACAAGGAGAGAGAAACAATAATAGACAAGGGGAAAGAAGGAAGAGAACGGTAGAGAATGGAAGAGCAGACGTAAATATAGATGACGTGCACACTAGAGAAACATTTAACTAGAGAGTCTGGAAAGCTTCAACATATAATCGAATACATGAATGTTTCTAAAATAAACCCTCGTGTCTGTAATACACTTTGTAAACCATTGTAAACCATTCAGCTTAGCCTTCAATATATGGAAGCTTCTAAACACAAGTTTGAGAAATCCAATCGCCAGTCATCTCACGATGTATAACCTCATCAAGACAACATTACAGAATATAACGAAACATGTGTAACCTGTACATCACCAGCCATGGATATTTTAATCCCTAAATTAGGGAATATAGTAAATTCTAAGCACAAATACACATACGACTCTGTATATAACTTATGGGTAAGGGGGTGTTCAGGGTGTTCAGTCTGAGAAGGTTGGGGTTGTGCTTGTGAGTTTGGATACGTGTGGGTGATGGGACAGTTTGAAAAAGGTGTAGTGATGGTGTAGGTGCCATGTATTCACGTAAACGTAGTCGCTTTCTGTTTTTACAGGGGTTGAGTCTCGGCTCGTGACTCCTCATCTTAACCGCCGTTACCGATTTCACTGTCTTAATCCCGTGGGCTCACTGTTCTTAAAGCATCCCTTCACTAGTTCTTCAAGGTCACTCAACATCCTGACTACCTGAGAGTGAATAATACTCTCTGAGATTTCTATAACTCACCTGTTCCTTTAGCTTCCGACTGTGTCTTCAAGTACCTGCTTTCATTCTCTTGAACAATCTGTTTTTCTTAGTATTGTTGTACGTCATTATCATGTCTCCCTCCCTCCTCCGATTCTTCTATTTTCTGTCATCAGGTGGATGGGTTTGTGGGGACAGAATTTTGAATGGGGTAGTATGTGTTAAGGCACGAGTGTGGAGTGGAGCTGTTGTTAAAATAGTGAGAGGAAAGCCGCAGTGTGGAGCAGGTGACTGTTGGCGAAAGGGAAGGAGCGATTTTATGTCATTGTGAGAACTCTAACTGAATAAATACATGATTTGTTATATGTCTGTTTATCTACCTTAGCTTGTACGTGTGTGCAGATGTATGCCTGTGTGTGATTTCATATCTGTGTCTCTATCCGTCTTAGTGTGTATATGTCTTAATGCATGTCTGTATATGCTTCTACGTATGTATCGCTCTGCCTGTCTTTCTTTGCTTGTATGTTTGTGTGTGTGCTTGGATACAAACTTTGTGTAAGCATGTACACTATGTCCTACGTGCGTCGTTAAATGCTCTTACGACGTAATAAAATCTCGGGATATTGCCAATAATAACCGAATGTTGCTTGGATAGGAAGAGGGTTAGGCAGAAAAAGTGGAGAGAGAGAGAGAGAAAGGCAGCGAGAGAGCGAGAGAGCGAGAGAGCGAGAGAGCGAGAGAGAGAGAGAGAGAGAGAGGAGGAGAGAGAGAGAGAGAGAGAGAGAGAGAGAGAGAGCAGAGACAGAGACAGAGACAGAGACAGAGACAGAGACAGAGACAGAGACAGAGACAGAGACAGAGACAGAGACAGAGACAGAGACAGAGACAGAGAGAGAGAGAGAGAGAGAGCTCCCCTTTGGCATTATTTTTTCCTGGCTTACAAATTTATCTCTTGTTCTATCTGTTTCAAATTTTAAGATAAACTTCGTATCTACCTTCACAAATCCTCTCATGATCTTGTATCTGCTACTCGTGACTCTTAGTTTCCTCCTATACGATAATATACACATTTTCAGCGTTTACAATTTTTCTTCTTAAATCAAATATCTAAGTGCTGAAAGCAATCTTTTACCATCTCCGGACTTTTATATATTCTGTATTGTAGGTGCCGATGCCACACTTCACTACTGCATCTCAGGTTCGTTTTCTCAGATTTTACGAAAAAGAAAATTCTTCAGTATTTCACTATCCATATATTTAAAGATTTTATTTTTTTGAAGTGTCATTATAACAAATGAGTTGCTCACTTCTGCATTTTTGTGAGATTTATGTTAATGTGTTTTTGTATACCTTCCCTAGATCTATTCTTATGCTCTGCATCATATGACCTATATTCTTCCTGAGGTCTTCTTTTTATAGCGCTCTCTCACTTGTCAACATCAAGTTCGGTGAGTGCGACTCGTCAGTCTTCTCACACTTCTGCAGTTGCTACCTGTTTTATAGAATCACTACTCACTTCTCACGAAGTCACGACGCATTGTGGAGCTTGTACCCTTATTTGGGGACTTCGCTTATAAATCTCAAGTTCTTTTTACGACGCAGCATTTTTACGAGCGTTGATAAACTGAATTTGGCGTCCTTTTTTTACCTTTCTCTTTCCACACCTTTTTTAACCTCTTTAGTTTCTTCTTCCACGCTTCTTTTTTCCCTCTTACAGTGTAAGAACTGACCAACATCCGATGTGACTTCTTTTATTCATTCCACAATATCGAGCCCTAAATTCAACGTAAAATCCCTTAGGAGTTATCTATCTAGTTTAGATAGATGCCTATATAATGACTTTGTGATCGTTGGCCCAGTTTACAGTGCCGCCCAGTGACCTCTGATTCCAGATTGCAGTTCAAGAGCTCTACTCTTTGCGGCTCCGCCACCCAGAGAATCTGGTTCCAGGCGGTAGACTGCTCTTACAGTAAACTGGTTCTTTGTAATAAAGTTGGTAGAATTACCGACAATATGTAAAGTAAAAGGACACAAGTGCAACTAATGTGACATTTATTGTGGCAACGTTTCGCTCTCCAGGAGCTTTATCAAGCCATTACGTAATGGCTTGATAAAGCTCCTGGAGGGGCGAAACGTTGCCACAACAAATGTCACATTAGTTGCACTTGTGTCCTTTTACTTTACAAACTGGTTCTTTCTATGCTCCACTGTGATATCAGTTGTTTTTATTAAATAGTAGTAGTAGTAGGTGGTGGTGGTGGTGGTGGTGGTGGTGGTGGTGGTGGTGGTGGTGGGGGTTTGGTGGTGGTGGGGGTTTGGTGGTGGTGGCGGTGGTGGTGGTGGTGGTGGGCGGGTGGGGTGGTGGTGGTGGCGGTGGTGGCGGTGGTGGTGTGGTGGTGGTGGTGGTGGCGGTGGTGGTGGTGGTGGCGGTGGCGGTGGTGGTGGTGGTGGCGGTGGTGGTGGTGGTGGTGGTGGCGGTGGTGGGGGGGGTGGTGCGGTGGTGGCGGTGGTGGGGTGGGGTTCGGTGGTGGCGGTGGTGGTGGTGGCGGTGGTGGCGGTGGTGGTGGTGGTGGTGGTGGTGGTGGTGGTGGTGGTGGCGGTGGTGGTGGTGGTGGTGGTGGCGGTGGGGGTGGTGGTGCGTGGTGGTGGTGGTGTGGTGGTGGTCGGTGGTGGTGGTGGTGGTGGTGGTGGCGGTGGCGGTGGTGGTGGCGGTGGTGGTGTTGGCGGCGGCGGTGGTGGTGGTGGCGGTAGTGGTGGTGGTGGCGGCGGTGGTGGTGGCGGTGGTGGTGGTGGTGGTGGCGGTGGTGGTGGTGGTGACGGTGGCGGTGGCGGCGGTGGTGGCGGCGGGGGTGGCGGTGGCGGTGGTGGTTCCCTACCAGCGCCATCATGCAAGAGACCATCATCATGTAAGGAAGACCTACGAAAATCGATACTGCCTTTATTGACGCTGTCCACCTCATTCGTCTATCATTTACATCACCCCTTTTCCCCCGCCTCTCTACCCTTTTTCTACTCACTTCTTTGCTCTCTTCCCTTTTACTCATGTCGTCATGAAGGTCATTTACTCTAAATTAATAGCCCATAGTCTGACTTTTACCTTATAGTAACTTCCTCTCAAAAATTCCGAGGTATATATT